TCGAAAGTTCTACAAGGTTCGTTGTCGTTCAGCGAATACCAATAGAGCGCATAAGCAGTTCAGAACGAAACGAAATTCTGAGAAATATCTGAGAATTTCTGATGATTTTTTTTGCTAGTTTTGTTTCCGTCTCGTATCTGGCGACGACAACTTTCGTCCTGCTTTTCGCTACGAAACGGAAACAGAGAGACAATCAGTGGACCAAATCACAACCATGGCGTCGGACAGCGACGAAGATCTCCTCTCGCTCCGGCGCGCAGCGCGAGAGATGCTGGACATGGCACGCCTTAAGCGCCTTCACCTTCATGGGGATTGGGAGAGGGCGTCAAGGCTGCGACTCCAAGGGCTTTCGCTGCTTTATGATGCTTCTCGGCGGTTCTCCATTCCCCGCGTTCGATTTGACATAGAAGATTTCACGGATGACACATGCCTAACTTTCTACCGTTTTACCCACGCGCAATTGCACCGACTACAAGATTGCTTTGGACTGCCGGACGTCATCCGCACGGGATCACATTCACGAACCTGCTGCAGTGGCCTCGAGGGGCTGTGTATTACTCTGCACCGCCTTTCGTATCCTAATCGGTGGTTAGAGCTCTCAAGAATCTACGGACGATGGCCCAGCGCATTGAGTAGTATTTTTACTTTGTTGTAGGGAGTATAAGCGAGAGGTGCAACGCATTGTTAGAGGGGAATTTGGATTTAGCTAGTTCGCGGCTACACGAATTTGCTCAAGCGATCTATGACCAAGGAGGCGAGCTGGACCGTGTGTGGGGCTTTGTCGACGGGATTGTGCGGGGAATTTGTCGGCCAGCTGGAGCACATGCGCAGCGCAGTGTGTATAATGGCCACAAGAGGAAGCACGCTTTAAAGTTCCAGACCGTCGTCACTCCAGACGGCATGATATTCCATCTCTTCGGTCCGGTGGAAGGCTGCCGTCACGATATCGTGCTGCTGCGAAAGCCGGAGCTTGGTAATCGCATCAGAGGTGACGAACGCTTTCGTGGCCTTTTCATATACGGGGACCAAGCTTATGGGCGCACGGATGTTTTTGTCTCGCCCTTCAAAGGGGCGTTGACTCCAGCTCAAGCAGTAATCAATTCTTCCATGCCGGAGGTGAGGACGACGGTGGAGTGGAGCTACGGACAGGTGGTCAATTATTGGGGTGGGGTGGACTTTAAACGCAAAAAAATGTGTCTTGGTGGAGTTCCAGTTGCGACGTTGTACAAGATAGCGGTGGTGCTAACAAATTGCATAACGATTGTTCGAGGCGGCAACAACAACAGCAGATATTTTGGCGTGGAACCCCCTTCACTACAGGAGTATTTTACGATTGAGTAGACTAAATAATACTCTACCATTCAGCCACAATCCCTTCTAGCTCAGTCGCTCTGTTTAGTTATAGCAACAGCTAAAAGCTTCAGTATCGACTCTATTTGCGTGGCGTGGCGCTGCATCTGCTCGCGCAATAAATCGTGCTGGCGACGCTGTTGTTCCAGCTCGTCGCGGCGGAGTTGCAGTTCCTCTCGCTGAAGTTCCACCTTTTGCTTTTCAATTTTTCTACGCTCGGTTGCCTCCTCTTGCTTGCTCTCAAGCAGTGTCGAGAGGCGACGGCGTTTTGGCTTGGCAGATTTTTCATCCGTTGTGTCTATTCGCTTTGAAACTCTTAAGGTCAAGTTAATCACATAAGAACTATTTTGCAGTAATGGATAATACATACCTCTCCTCAGCAGCCTGCATCAATTTCTGGCCAGCCGTCTCGAGGATCTGCGTCTTCGACTCTGCGTCGATTTTGTTGAGCTCTGTGCTAGTCGATGCTGCGTCCTTCAGTTTCTGAAGCTGCTCGAGGACGCCGTCATCATCGGTGTGCACTTCGCTGCGACCACTAGCGCCTTCGTTGCGTTTCTTGCGTACTGTGTACTTGCGGAGGAGAAGGCTGGTGCGATCTCGGCAGGCACGAAAGCTAAAACTCATCTTCAGATTCTGGTTCACTCGCATCGCTACTCCCTTCCATACCGCTGTCACTGCGGTGCGACTAACGGCAAACGGGGGTGTTGCTAGCACCTCGGTCAACAAAGTTTTGTCTATAACTCCGTTAAAGCTAGAGCGTATCTCGGGCGCAGCAACCTCCTCGCACTTTGTTCCTCGCTCTCTGAAACGAATGCTTGCAGCGGCAAATCTGTTTCTGTGCCCAGCATTGGCGGATCATCCTGGCCAAGCTGGATTGGCGACTCGTCTTGGCTGAGCCGGAGCGAAGAAGCAGCAGCGTCAGCGGCATCGTCGCCGAACAAGTCGCCGGAGACAAAATAGTATTATCACACAGCAGTATGCAGCCAACACAAAGAGTGTCTGCATGCCACACAGATGTGCCACATCATGTGGGCCTTGTCGCACGTGCGCGTGCACATGTGTGACACATCTGTGCGGCACAGACAGTAGGACGTACCCACGGACCATCCAT